GGAGAAGACTTGGTTTGTGCTTCTCCCGTTCTTGTTTTGAAAAAACAATATGAATAATGCTCATGGATAATATTTTCTGAATAATTACTTTGGGGGCTTGCATGCCTAATTATGCCAAGTGTGGCTTGAACACTTGTATCAATTGTTTCCGCTGCTTTAATAAATGTTTTACATTATGTTTGTTTATGGATGTACTATATGTGAATGGTATTCAAGACGCCTTGTATAGTATGGATGAGTCGGACTGCGGTTGATTATTCGTACTGTACGGCGGGTTGTTGACGTGTCCGGGTAGGTCCGGGGCGTGACATATAGTGTTGTACTATTTAATCCAAAACTGATTGGAGTGCTGCCTATTGGCCGGGTAAACTTTGCATCTGTTTTACACAAAATAACATCAACTAATTATATTAATCAAGCTATCAACTTGTGGTCTTACCAATCCAATATTATAAGAAAGTTTCATTCACATTATACATTCATGTGTAATAATTCAAATAAGTAGCTATCAAATAATCTTTTCATTTCTCTAAGCTATTTAAGTCCTAACTGCCATTAAGTTGTTTTCAGAACTAAAGCCCTGCACCCATGTTTTAAGTTCAAATTGAAGAAGATGAATTTAAACGGCATGTGTTATGTGCTATAGTAATTTTTATGCTCTATCATTCCTATCTTCTTTGAACATTTTTTGTTAGCTTATATCTGTGTAAACAATTCCAATCACAATTTTTATTAGTCTTATCTACCTGAGGCCTTTCCAATCCCATAATCTAAGAAACTTTCATTCAAATTTTTCACATAAATGACTGATTTTTCAAACAAACATTTTTTAACACGGTAGGTAAACAACCCATTAGTGGAATAAATGTCAGGGAACATTTACCAAGTTTTACTAATAAAAAAGGAAATACAAAAAGAGAACTGGACACAAACCAAAAACCTCTCGAGAAAGGCCCGCATACCTTTTCAAATAAATATCTATCAAATAATGTTTTCATTTCCCTGTGCAATCAAAACCTTACTACCCTAAAGTTTTTTTGAAACATAAGCCTTGCACCCATTTTTTAAGTTTAAATAGAAGAAGATGAATTTAAATATCAGGTTTTGTGTGATGTCATAAGTTTTATATCGGATGTTTTTATCCTCTTTGAGCATTGTTGCTATTCTGGTATTTATATAATCAATTCAACTAACTTCTAATCGCTCGACCTTAGCAAATTCTCACAACAGAATTAGTTATTTTTGGACATATCTTTGTTTCTTTTTTAGGTGGTCAAATTTGATATTTATGAAGTGTTGTTCCAGACTTCCAGTTAATCACAGAAATGATAGAAATGCTGCCTATTGGGTAAATACTACCTTAGTTTTACTCTTATTAACATCAACAACAAATGAAAGCATTCAAGGATTTTCTTAAACTGGCTTACTATATTGATCTTTTACCCGACTATATATTATTACCTCCGTCTCAAAAAATGTCATCTTGTAAACTTTAAACCATGATTTTACTTTCATTAAGATTATGGAAGTTATAAATTTTATACTTTTAGAGAAGTAATTTTAGCAAAAAAAAAATTCTATGTCATTTTAATATTATCAATAATTTTTAATAAAAATATATAATAGATCAAAATTTTAAAGATGGCAAAGTCATTCAGAATGAAGGTAGTATTATATATACTAATAAACAACAATAATACCAATGATGACTTCATATCACTGGAAGCAATTGTATATTTTGACATTACATTCTTATATGACAAACACATACCTCTCTTCCTTTTCATACTGGCCTGCTATTGATCCATTGATATTTAAAATATAAACACAAACAAAAAATTAATTTGGCCAAACCCTAAAAGGCCAATCAATATATGAATGGATTGGACTACACAACATTGATTTATGATCCATTATAGCTTTTGTTTTAAGTAGATAGGAAATAATTTGTTTTCATGTGGGGTTGTGTAATACTCTGTTTAGCCTAATTTTTTTATACTTGCAGTTATTTCTATGTAATAGTAAATGAAATGTCATTGATAATATGCACAACTCTGTCACTATTTATGAAATGGCTCTTTTTTTTAAACTTCAGTTACTTGAATCAAGGAATTTTTCCACTATCAATCAATTTCTTCTCACAATAAATATACTGACAGTTTTGATCAAACAAAATTGATATACCACTCAATAAACTTTTGATTTAATAGAAATGACACAATTTGTTTCCCAATTAAATGATATTGGTACTATGATCTAGCCGACCCTATTTTTTGCATTGTCAACTCAAGGTATTTTCTATCTAATATATACATTATATTAAAGTACATTGAGATTATACACCTAGCTATCTCAAATATACAAATACACCTAATAACGCTAATGTCTCTTCAAATATGGATCTGTAGTTCCAATCCAATTTCCCCATAACACCTTAGACTTATATTCTAGTGTGTAGATTGATATAAATATCAACTATTAGGTTTGTCGTCCCATCATAAGCATATTCTATAATTTTTGTTTTTCATAATCATTTTTAAAAGTAGAGCAATGATATATGCGTTAATAATACTTTATTTACAACCAAGTAGTAAAATCAGATTTACCCGAAGTATAGTCTGATAAAGGTCTTCTCTTTGGACCTACTGTTGAGGATTTTTTGAGCTTAGCCTTAGTCATGAACTCTCAACCTTTACACAGGAATTTGCCACATAGGGATGAAGTAATACACCAACTTTTTGGACCTACTGTTTCTCTTTATCTGGAATTTGCCACATAGGAATGAAGTAATACAAAAACTTTTTGAATATACAAACATTTCCAATACATGCATTGATAAAAAATATTTACCAAAAAAGAAGCTTCAGTCATCATTATACATGGATTTTCATAACATAATACAGGAAATGGGTTTTGAAAATTCCCAAAAGTTTGACACTTATATTTCATGATTTTTTTTTATTCCAGGTCAAATTTCACCATCAAAGATTCACAATTTAATATTTCATTCTAGAAGAAACTTAGGTAACTAAAATTGATATTTCTTTTAGGAATTGTTATTTTTTGTATCTTCTGTTTTTTTATATTTTGGTTGAGAGCATTGAGTTATCCATAAATGAGCTTATTATCATCCTTTTTGCATTAGCTTCACCATTGCTGCAATTTGTGGCTACTCCCTTGTAGTTCTTGGCTTCTACATCTTCTGCTTTGCTTATGCTCCATCGACTTGTAAACCCATTTTCTTTCTCCTTTTGTTAGTTCAAGTATTGTAATTTTCATTTCTCACTAAGATATGAACTTACTTGTATGGAATATGAATATATATGTGCATGTTGTGATGATACTCTTTCATACTGCAGGTTAAGACTGAAGAGAGAGAGAGAGAAGAGGCTGGACAATTGAGTGGGTTACTCTAGAAAAGAATAGTATTTATAAGGAAGTGAGTGATCTTTCTATAAAGAAAATTCATACACCATGAACAGGCTGGCGAGTTTTGATTGGCTGAAAGTACACATGCCCCAATGAACAGGCTGCCCAGAATGGATGGGCTGTATTTTTTGTTACAAATTTTAATATAGAGTATCTTTTAGAGATATTGTGTGCGCATGCTCCCTGAAACAACCTGGCGAGACTTGATTGGTGCTAAAAAGTATGTGTACTGTTGAATTTTTAATAGTATTTCTAGTATGCACATGTACGGATAAAGACTCTCACAGCTTTATATACTTCATTGCTGCTTTATATATATACCGTAACTTCGTTGTAGCTTTATATACTTTAACGTGGTTGCACTTTTTCATCATGAGTACCAAGAAAGTTTCCATACTTTTTAGACTAATTTATTTTCTTCTTTACCAATCAATATTTTTTCAATGTTAGCTTGCACTATTTGTTGATGTTGACATTTCCAAGCGGGAATATTGTTGAAAAAATAGTGCCAAAAACCTTTTGCTTTTATATAATGATAGATATGTTAGGGATGAAAGAATACTTATATGGTAGTTTTATACTAATTGGTGTATCTCTAACAATGATCATAATGTATTCTAATATAATTCTATAGCATGTTTTTATTTTTATACAATAAGTATGTATATACACATTACTCATGAAATAAATTATTAATTTGTAAAAATAAATTGATTTCATTTGTTCTTCGTGCAATGCACGGGTGGATTGAAAATGTAAGAGCATCTTTAGTGGAAATGTGGATTGTACCTCATTAAAAATGGACACGTCACTTAAGTAGACAGCCTATGAAGCTGAGGTGGATATATAGACATTTAAAATAATATTTGTGCTCCAATGCAATCATGTGTTTACAAATTAATTTACTTTTCATACGTAATACCACTAATAAATAGCTGCAGCTTATACGTTAATATTACTTTTCTTCAACCGATCTTCTTCAGAAGCATAACCTGAAAGTGCAGATGTAAGAAAGAATCTCTGTACTATGATTATGACCAAACCCAGAAAGCAAAAAAAAGAAGCAAAGAGAATAGAAATATAGTCGGATAAAATCAGAAGCAATTCTTCGATTACAACAGGAAACAAAAAATCAATAGTTTATCCATTTAATTTAGCATCAAATTGCAATACACAGTAGTTGATAATCAAATGAAAACGAGAGTTAAAATACACGATTTGAGTTTTTAAGAAGATGGAGAGATATCCTCCCCAATGTTCTTCTAATGTGAAAGACAAGTTTATTCTTCGGAGATTCAGCGGAGATATTTTTATGGTCATTTTTTGAAGAAGTGCAATTTTGAGATTAGAAGATATATTTTGGATTACAGCCTTTGATTCCCTTCGTATTTGCTGAGTCACGCTGTTCATCAGACTTGCTGAAATTAGACAGAGCATGAGACGGTGTGGACTCTTTGCGCTTCCAACTCAGCACCGTGAGAAAAATAGAGTGTTCCATTGGAGACCCAATTTTTACCCAGATGTCTATTTTAAGTACGTGGCAATGCATTTTTAGCTAATTCACATTGCCACTAAAGATGCTCTAATATGTGTACCTTTAGTCACTTTTTGTGTATCTTAAACGCAAAATTAAGGTAAATTATTTTGTTTGGATCTGAGTTCGGATTTTGGAGAGGGAAATTTCCATGAATCAAGAGTATGATTTATAAATAATAGGTTCCGAGTTTGGACCTCTGTATCCTTTCCTTCCCCAAACAAAGCATAAATCGGTATGCTTTCCGACCTAAAAACCATATCAAGAATCCCAAATTCTGGAACAAAATAGCTACTCCGTTTATCCAAACATATGTGCAAAAATGTACGATTTGGAGACAGGCGTCGAAGATGCGGAACGAACCGCATTCAGAAAAGCAGAGAAGAAGTACAAATTGTACTTCGATAGCGGCAGAAGGTGCTACTTCTTTATTCCCCTCCCATATTAGGATTTCTTTCCATTCATTTATATCGTTTTCTTACTATTCGCACGCTGCGTTACAGGAAAAAACAGCCGAGGCCTGTGGATTTATCAGAGGTGATTGATTTCAAGTCCATTAATGAGTGTTATACTCAAAATTCCGAGCTTCCTCCTGGAATTTCAGTGCTCCAATGTGACTTCGATCGACCTGTTTTTCGCTTGGAAAGCCATCCAGGTATCTTTTTTATCGTAGAAATTGCTCTAAATAAGAGCAAAAAAGTTTTTAAATTCCAGGAATCATCTTTTTTATTCCAAGTTTGGAAAAAAGAAATTTGCAAAAAGAAAATAGAAATTGCTCTGAACAGGAGTAATCTGCCAAGTTTGGAAAAAATGCCAAACCTAGTAACCACAAACTTGGCAGAAATTTACTCCTATTCAAGAAATAAAAAACATGATAGTCCTATTTTGTAATTTCAAAACTTTTTTACTCCTATTTAGGGAATTCTCTCTTTTTATTGCTATCTCTATATTATGCAGGTGGGTGTAAGAATGTAAGATATATGAGTTATATAACACAGTAAATAAATCTATAATAATTTAGAAAAATTACCAAGCTTTATTGTGACATGGGTAAAAGCTATATCTTTCATGAAAATATAGAATGAACTTGGTTGTCTTAATAGTTTTGTGGATTGAGGGCATTAGTGTGAGACAGAAGTCTTGTGTTAGAATCACACATGTGTTTTGAGCGTGACATAGGTGTAGTCCGAATTGCAGGACGAAGGATCAAAATAGAGTTCGGCTGATCGGTTCAATGGGTAAAGGTTGTGGACTTGTCGGGGTAAGTGAGAGAGTGTTTTGAACAAAGGCTAAGGAGTATATGTTTAATGCAACTATGAAATGTACATGGTTCACTTCATAGTTTAGTTGGTTGGGTACAATAGTGTGAGAATGTGAGATGGGCATTGTGTGCTCAAATCCTTTGCACAACAAATATTCTAGAAGTCATTTCTTATTAATAAAGAACAAGCTGGTACTGGCTCGGTGGTTGGATCACAAAATCAGTTGGGCGGACACGGTTTGGTAACCTTATTGATTCAATGTAAGAACCTGACCGCTTCTACACTGATAAAGTTCAAACCGGTCAGGTCAAGTTTTAATATATTGCTTTATTCTCTCAATTATAGGGACTAAAAGGTGATAGAGACTGAAAGGTGACCGATTGAGTTGCTATAGATAGCCTAACAATTGAAAAAGTAATGAAAAAATCTATAAGAGCAATGCTATTTATTAGTGATCTGCTTAAATAATCCCAATTTTCAATTATTTCAAAATAATCTCACCAAGCGGATTATGCCTCCCTTAATCTTCCTTAAGAACGGTAACCTGTTGATGTGAAATCCAATTATGCATACCATTCTTTCCATCAAATTCAAGGTATTGGTATTTATGACATTTTATAAAAAGTTAACCTTAAATTTGAGAATTAATATTAATAAAAGTATATGATTTCTAAATTTTGATGTTTATTTTCCAATATATTATAAAATTTTGACATTGTTTTGCTGGTATCAATATCAACATCGATATATCTACCAAATACCAATATATTCATAAAGTATCAATATATCTATTGGTACTGATATTTTAAACTTTGGTTGGGGCCTTAAAAGACAACTTCAATATCAAAAGTCACCGGAGTATTTTTAGAATATCACTCAAAAGTGAGATTTCTTTGAAATAATTGATAGCGGGATTATAAAGATTGTGATTTTGTTCACAAGAATTGAGTTGGAGAAAAAGAAAAGACCAGGAGTTTAGAAAACACTATGTCCATTAGAAAACTCCCTGGATGTTCTACCTCTATGCTTTTTACACTGTTTAGATAGCGAAATTGTGTGGTTGAAATTGATTTCGAAAGAAAGAATTAATATAAACCATTCACGTCTTTCCTTAAAAGGAGATGAAAAGGCTTTCTGACACAGCTCAAAATGGAAAGTGCCAAAGTGGGAAGAACATTTTGGGATAGAGGGAGCACGTAAACATGTGATGGTGTTGATTTGGAGGCTGTAGGGGATCCATAGAATTGTTGTAATGACCCTGAAATTGGGAACAAATTGTGATTATACAGACTGTGGTGACCAGATTGTTTTGCATGGTCATGAGCATGAATATATTAGTGGTGAATTAATGAGAATACTAAAACCTTATCTAATCTAATGAAAATAATAGACCTAAGTCTACAACCTAGTTTTACTAATGCTCCTTAACCACCACTGTGTTTTGGCTTTCGGCACTTGGCCTGTATAATTCCCTTGAATGCATGAGTTGCATGCATGTCTGCCCTCTGATTTGGCCATATTTAAAAGTTCTTATACTATTTATAAATGCTCTGTGCAGGGTTTTATTTCATTCCTGGTGCATTAAGCGTTAAGGAACAGTGTCATTGGATAAAGGAGAGTTTAACAAGATTTCCTCAGCCACCTAATAGAACAAACCACAATGCTATATATGGACCTGTAATGGACTTATTTATATCTGCCAAACAAGGCATGGTTTTAGTTGAAGAGGAGCATTCATGTCATATAAATGGTACTGATGCTAATAATGATCAGAGTGCGTCATGCGAATCATGTGCGCCTCCTTGGAAATTTTCTAATGTACAGAGTTTGTCTTCGAGAGGAGAAGCACGCAAACTATTACCTGCATCTGTTTTGCTTCGTAAGTTACGGTGGAGCACCCTAGGCTTGCAGTTTGACTGGTCCAAGGTCTTCTTTATTTTTTCATTTGAAGTCTATCAATTCCTTTGATTCCCTTGCAGGCCCTTTTTGTGGTTCTGAATTTTGATGAGTTGCTATGGGTCACCCGGAAACAGTCTCTCTGTGCTTTAGTACAGGGGTAAGACTGCGTACATCCGACCACTTACCCCACTGTAGGTGGGAGCCTTTGCGGCACTGGAGTAATGATGATGATGATGATGAATTCTAATGAGTTGGCTCTCAGAAGTCAAAACCTATTTGTAGGGGAGCTGGGGAGGGTTATTTGAATAATAACTTGGAAGATATAATTTTAGAAGCCAGATGATATGCATATGCGATATGCTTAACCTGTCCCGAGCTGATTTCATTTAATAAACCAGTTGATGTGCTAAACCCATATTGAGTTTATTTCAAGGGCCTTGTTAATGAAGTGTTGTGACAGCCCTTTCACGATTTTTTTATTCAAACTAGAACTATCTCCTTTTATTATAGACCTTTGGTTACTATTTAATCCACATTCCACAATGTATGTATTCGGTTACAAAAATTGAAAGATATGTATGCATGGAATGTGTAGCATGCTGTTTTTATTATTACTTGCAATTAATTTGTACAGACTAATACATTCTAGTATTCTACCATGACATATTGTACAAGATACATCCATACAGGTTGCACCATATGTTTATATTAATATATTTGCACAGTACTACTGTTTCAACTTTCATTCTCAATAGTAATCGTATCCATCGGCTTTTAAAAAAGTTTTGTGGTGTGATATTGCAGAGGAGCTACAATGTATCTTTACCTCATAACAAAATACCAGATGAACTTTGCCAGCTTTCTACAAAATTGGCAGCCCCTGCTATGTGGCCAGGTCAAAACTTCCAGCCTGAAGCAGCAATTGTCAATTACTTTGGTCAAGGTATGCATTACAAATTGAAATCCCTTGAAATTATTTTTGCATCTTAAACTTTTCAAGATGATATGGTACTTCTTGGGTTAGATGAGACTTGAGAGTATAACTTTCTAGAGAGCGAAGTAGAGGGAGAATATATGTGTGGAGGACTCATCTGATATTGTTTGTCTCATTTGTCTCTATTTAGTATTATCATTATTATTTTAAACTCCTATGTCATATGTCGATTCATGTTAAGTGTTAACCGACGACAAAGCCTTTTTAGATCAAGCCTTGGATGTTGTTGTTGTAAAATTTTCAATCTAGGTCTTAACCGGAGTCACTTTCTTTTTATTCTTATTTATTTACTTTTATTAATATTAGCATTATTACTATTATTTTTATTAAATTATTATTAATATACTTGCTGTACATTATCTTCCATTCTTCTTTAGGTGACATGCTTGGTGGCCACCTTGATGACATGGAAAAAGATTGGACCAAACCTATTGTGAGCATGAGGTTCCACTCTGGTTTTTCTATGAACCTTGTGTTTTCATTTAATTAGAATTAGGTTTTTATCGCATCTTGTATGCTCATGGTGAACCTAGTTTCTCCTGTTTTCAGTTTGGGATGCAAAGCTATATTTCTCATTGGGGGGAAGTCTAGGGAACATATGCCCATTGCAATGTTTTTACGTAGTGGTGATGTTATCCTTATGGAAGGAGCGGCTAGGGAATGCTTCCATGGTAGGACTTCAAAGTTTTCATTCTGTTGTATTTTAAAGTGGAGTAATGCTTAAGGGACATTATTGGGAAACATTCTTATGTTTCACACATTAATTAGGGGATGGAAAGTTTAGGTATGTGAGCATGACCAAGTATGTATGTGGCACATATAAATACTCCCTCCATCCTATAAAATTCTTCCTGATTTGACTCGGATCGGAGTTTAAGAAAGTGTGGATAAAGTGGAAATTTAGGGTTGTGGTTGAGTAAGAAAAAGGTAAATGAATGTTAGCCACACAAAACTTTCCAAAAATGGAAATGAGAAGAATTTTTTGGGGCGTCCCAAAAAGTTAAAATGTTGGGAAAACTGTCAAATAAGTCCTTATACTATATCAACAAAGTCAATTAAGTCCTTATTCCCTCGAACAAATAAAAAACAATCAATTGAGCCGTTCAACCGGTAAATAACAAATCTTCCGGTTAATCACCTACGTGGAACGCCCATTTGGCTTTTTTTCCTTTTTCCCTTTTTTTCTCTGTCTTTCTTCTCCTTTCTCCGCTCCCAGCCACCTGGTTCTTTACTTCATCCTTCAATCCTTCTCCCAGTCTTGTATCTTCTTCCACTCGTCTGCAAAATGCTCCTACGCGAGCCCTGTAGAACCAGACCTCCATGTTTAGCGCACAGAACCCTGCAAGGAACACCATGGTGTCGGCGGCATCATCCTCCAGATCCGTGAAATCCTCATCGACGAGGCCATCAAGGGCGCCAACCCGCCCGTCCAGATCTTCCTCAACCACCCCTGGAAGGAGTACTCACAGACCATCATGATGCAGCTGTGCATCGACGGCTTCATTAACCCGCCGGAACTCAAGCCCACCGGCTGGTCACTGTGGATGGGCAGCTTCGGGCTGGACACTTGCTTGTATGTAGAGTACCAGAACAGAGGCGCCGGAGCTTACACCGGCAAGAGGGTTGACCGCAGGGGTGTAGGCGCGTAGCTAGGGGGTGGCCAACCCTGGCCCAGCCCAAATTTAAAAAATGTCTATATTTTTAGTGTAAAAAATTCCGTGTTAAATTTTTTCCAAAAATATTCTTTGTACCGGCTCAGTCCAACCCAGTGCCCTGGCTCTGCCTCTGGTTGACCGGAAGGGTAGCCAAAAGCACCAGTTCACCGCTTGAGTTTATTTTCAAGGAGATGGATGACTGGATCATGCCCACCGGAACTTTGTATGACTTTGGGATGGTCAAGACTGCCTAATAATGTCATATTCATGAATTAAGTCCACCGAAAAAAAGCTCAGGGGGGTTGGGGTGGAAGAAGAAACCAGAGTGAGAGAGCAGGCGGGTGGGAGTGAAAAATAAAAAGAAAAAAAAGAAAATAAAAAAAATATCCAACTGGACATTCCACGTAGGCAGGTTAACCGGAAGACTTGTTCCTTACTGGTTGAACTGCTCAATTGACTGTTTTTATTAGTTGGAGGGTTCAATTGATCGAATTTAAAGTACGAGGACCTAATTGACTTTTTTGTATAGTAGAAGGACCTATTTGACAATTTTCCCTAAAATGTTCAATTTTAAGTTCTCCTCCCTAGCATTACTCCATAAAGTGTGTTTTCTTTGTTGTATATGCTGGAAATCTGCAATGGAAAATCGTAATATGTGATTACAATCTCCAAAGAGAATCTGTATTAAGATTGTTGAAATTTATTGAACCTGGAAAGTAGATCCTTAGTTCCTTACATACTCTCCATAGATGACTTCAATTGTCACTGGAAATGAGATCCTTATTCTGTCAAAAAATAATGGCCATCATTGTTCCCTTTAACCAAAATAATTCGATCCTTGGATTTTTGGAGTGGATGGGGGGAGTGGCAACTTGAACACCCCCCATCCACTCCAAAAACCTGAACCAAAATACCCTAATAGTCACTGTAAAATGGATCCTTGGGTTGATCTCTAGAAGTTTAACCATCATACAACTTTTACAGGCGTGCCAAGGATCTTCACTGACAAGGAACATGCTGAAATAACAGAACTGGAGTCGCACTTTTCCGATGAAGGCAGCTCCTCCTTCTTGGAATATATTCGGACTTCTAGAGTAAACATCAACATCAGGCAAGTTTTCTGATGCCTTTCAAATTCTGGATCACAGTAATCCAATAGACAGGACCCTAGCCTTCACCCCATGAAGCAGAAAGTTGCTATTCTTCCAGGCTAGATGCTGTGCAAATATTGTATTTCATATTTTGCACTTAGTGAGTGGTTCTATACTTCTATATTGTACTTGCATTTTTGTATTAGGATTAAGATGTTAATGGATTGTGTTTCATTTTTATAACTATGAAAACATATTCTCTTCACAGCAAAGATTACCAACACCATTTAGGTTGCAGTTTTCCGGTTGGAGGAAGATATTTTTGTACTAGATCATTTCAGATTCCTGTTTCATACTTGTTATATCTGTAAAAATGATGATGATGAATGTGTGATAGTGTTAAGTTCCTGCTTTGTATGGTTATACTTTGTGCTATTGAGTGTGCTCATCATCATCATCATCATCATCATCACCTAGTGCTTAGGGGTGGACTCGGGCCGGGCCAACCGGCCCGGAACCGGACCGGCCCGCCACTGTCCCGGCCCGGACCGGCCCGGGAACCGGTTCGTTGGGCGGTTCGGGCCACCCGGCCCGGTGGATTCTCGGTTCGGGCTCGGGCCCTTCAAAAGGTGAACCGGCCCGGCCGGTTCGGGCCCGGGCCGGGCCAATTTTAATTTTGTTTTTGAATTTTTTTTGAGTTTTTGGGTTGGGCTGGTTATTTTGGGCCATTTGAGGTGGTTAGGGTTGGTTTGGGGGTGAGGGGGAGGGGTGGGGGTTAACTAGGAAAAGCCCCCCCCAAAAAAAAAATACCTGAGGCCCGGCCCGGCCCGGCCCGGACCCGGGGTTTACCCGGGCCGGTTCCGGGCCTCGCCTTCTTGAACCGAGGCCCGGCCGGGCCCAGGCCCGAACCGGGCCCGAACCGGCCCGAGTCCACTCCTACTAGTGCTGCAAAGGCTTCCACCTACGGTGAGGTAAGGGGGGTCAGATGCACGTAGTCTTACCCCTACACTAAAGCACAAAGACACTGTTTCCGGACGGCCCATAGTGAAAATCGCGTCGAAAGTTGCATGGACTGACATCTGCTTCACAATAAAGAAGCGCAGACAGTTTAGCAAACCATTTTGCTTTTGCTTTATTCTATCATATTCTGAAAGAAAAAAATAGTGATTCTTTGGCTCCATTACAAATGTTGGAAATATAGTGTTAAAAATTGGATTTGCGGATGTGTTAGCTATATGCTTTAATAGAGGGACTTGCTCTTGTTAAAAATAAGAGTTCTTCAAAGTTCAAAGTATCCATGTTTTACTGTAGCTCCCAAAACCAGTTATTCAACAGAGAATTCTTTAAAAGACCCGTGCTTTTGTTCTTTGTTTTCCATTGTACTTTCAACTAGGGGTGGCCCAAACCGGTTCGGCCCGGCCTGTGAACCGGCCCAGCTTGTTACTGTGCGTGCCCAGACTGGCTTGGAAGATGGAAGGGCGGTTCGGGCTTTGAACCGGCCTGATCATGTAGGATGGTTCGAGCACGGGCCTTGATTTATGAGAACTGGCCCGGCCCGTTCGGACTCGGTCTGGGCCTAACGGCTACAATTTTAAAAAAAATTAAATGACCTCCCAAACAGGCCTTATGACTGTTGCCTAGTGATGGACCCAGGCCGGTTCCGATTCCGGGCCGGGCCGGGCTTTTTTCCCAAGTACTCGGGCCCGGAACCGGCCCGGGTTGATACCCGGTCCGGGCCTAACCGGGCCGGGCCGGGCCCGTTTCAATGTTTGTTTTTTTTTTGCTTTCTTGTTATCCCCCGACCCCCCCCTCACCCCCACCCCCCAAACCTCCCCAAAACACCCAGCCCTACCCTAGGAAAAGAAACAAAATTGAAAAAACAAAAAAAAATTGACTCGGGCTCGGCCCGAACTGCCCGGGCCGGTTCGCCTAAAACTGGGCCCGAGTTCGGCTCGCTCGACCCGCCCAAACGGGCTAAAAGCCCAAAACCGGCCAATTGGTCCTGGTCCGGTCCGGGCCCGCATAGTAGCGGGCCGGGAGGTTCCGGGCTGGGCCGGCCCGGTTTAGTCCATCCCTACCGTTGCCCACAAACCCAAACGGCTCTATAGCCATTGGGAGGCTCCCTGGGGTCTCGGGGGGGGGGGGGGGGGGTGGAGGGTGGGGTACAAGAAATCTATAAATAATCCATTTCTTCTATACAATTTACTACACATCTTCTTCAAATATTCCTAATCTCTATTCTCTATTAACTACATATATTATATTTATAAAATTTATTATCTACTTATTATCTACTTCATATATAGTTAATATCTACTTATATTTATATATTACTTATAAAATTTATTACTCCAGATCTACTAATATTATTGTTATTTACTTATATTTACATATTACATATACTTAACATATACTTATATATATTAAAGTATTAAATATAAGTGTATTACTCATCTTATAGTAATATACTTATATTATATACTATAAACATAATATTATACTCCGTATATTACTAAACAATTATTATATCTACTTATACCTTATTATCTACTTATCCAATTACTTATACACTTACACTCCCATTAATTTAGTTTATCCACTCATACATTCTTTATTAATATAAAAGTAGTTAATTGTTTCACTTATCATTTTAGTATTATTTCATTGCTATAAAAGTAGATAATTGTTAGTTGTTAGTTTATTGGAAATAGTTACATTAAAAAGAAAGTTGTTACATTTTACTTCCAAAAAAGTTGTTAGACAATAATTCGAAGGTAATTGTTTAATTGTTAAACTAGTTAATTGTTACATAGTTTATTCTCCTTTAAAACTAGTTACTTGTTTAATTGTTAAACTAGTTAATTGTTGCATTTCTTATTCTCCTATAAAACTAGTTAATTGTTACATTTCTTATTCTCCTATAAAACTAGTTAGTTGTTTAATTGTTAAACTAGTTAATTCTTACATTTCTTATTCTCCTATAAAACTAGTTAATTGTTTAATTGTTAAACTAGTTAATTGTTACTTTTATATTAAAGTTGTTCGAATTTTATAATAAAAGTAGTTAAACTTGTTAAATTTTTATTTATTTATTATTTGTTAAAAAATAGTTCAAATTTTATTACTTACTTGTTAATTAGTTGCATTGTTACATTTTCTCATTTTTTAATTGTATTTCGAATTGTTAGATTTGTATTTCAAATTAACTAGTTTAATTGTACTTCGAATTTAATACGATAGTATTTGTTATATTTTTAAGATGGAACGTGGTAGAGATTCTGTAGATATGGGTAACCTCAACCGCAACCGAAGAAAGGAGATTATGAGGAATCATCCAAGCTCATGCAAAGGTAAGGGACGGGCCGGGTCTTCATCTCAAACCCGAGATGATTTTGATGCGGATTACAATCGGAGAGATGGGGATGCGATGTCCGATGAGCAACTAGCACAATTATTGCAACATCAAGGGCGCTTTTTCCATCAACAAGACATCCCGATCATTGAGGAACAAGAGCTTGAGGATGATGATGCGGAGGATAATCATCATTTATATTATTTGAGTGTGACTGCACATTGTATTGATGATGATTGGTGTATGCATAAACATGTTATTGCTTTTCGTGAATTTAATGATCGACACACCGCTGATAATATTTATATTCTCATTGAGCGTATTTTAATTGAGTATAATTTGATTGATAAAGTGTTTGATATTGGTTTTGATAATGCTAGTAATAATACTGCTGCTTGATAGTCCCAGAATACTAACAATCATACAACCATAGCAGTGATAAAGAAGCAGATAGAAAGATATCGACAAGATTAAAACCGAATCTGGTATACCGTATGAACTGGCCGCTGCTCTCCCTGGAGAAGGAGAGCAGCGACAACCCTAATCTCTCTATCTCTACGCCTCTATGCTCTCTAAGCCTCTTTCGATTAGTTAGGGTTTCCGTAAGTTAGCCTCCTTTTATAGGAGAAGTTGGCTAACTTACGGGTTACAAGGAAGCCCCCGGGCTGATACACAATTGTGGCCCGTAATACACGTTTAATTAATAACTACACAAATACAAAGATATTTAATTAGATTGGACACCATAAAATATTCCTAACAATCTCCCCCTTGGTGTTCAATCATGTTCAATAAACATTGCAGCGCGGATATCTTTGTCTTTGTTGTTATTCAGCTTCCTTTTACTTTGAACTTGACTTCTGAGGAAGGCTATCTGAAGAAATCCTTGCAAATCTCTCCTTTGATGTCTTCTTGACAATTTGATCTTTGATGCCGGAGGTTGAGGGACCTTCAGTATCTTGCATGTAGTCTTTGCCTTCCAGAAGTTGCTCTTGATCAGCTTGGATGAAGTCCGGTGACGCCTCTAGAATGAATATTCTTTGGAGAATAGGAGACGCCCATGAAATTCATCTTCAGGACACGAGTATTTGACCTTTGTCTCCTCCACAATGTAGTCTTTTTGACTATTTGGAATGAATGCATTTGAGGAGAACTTGTCGATGGCACAGCGGAACATAATGATTGTTGATTTGTGAGTGTAGCTGACCATTTGATTTGAGTTGTAGAGATAGCAGAGAAGGTGTTGATTTTTGTGATGGAGGAGTGAAGTGTCCCAGAATGATTTGTTCAGTGTTAACAGCATGTGGACCACTCTCCCCCTCATGATGATCCGATGAATCGGGACGTCATGCTTTTATTCTTTTATTCTGCGGAAATAAACAGGAAACAAACAGAAAGAGTAAATGATAAAAGCCCCCCGGGGTCGTGTAGACACCCGTTTTCATCACTATAGAGATAAACTCTAAAGCAATGGCCTGAAAATGTTGGTGATTCTTATGTTGCAACAGCAGGACTTCCTTCCAATCATTAGTCTACATCTGCAATAGATGAGACCTATGGAAGTTCTCGCGGGTCTTTGAAGACCTGCAACTGACTCAAAAAGTGCGTCGGTGTCCTAGAAAATTCAAAACATTTGGGAGTGAGGTAACTAGACACGACGTGATCAATGAAAGTTCAGTGGCATGGGGCTGAGGCCACTGTAGTCAGTATTACTTGCCTCGTAAGGAGGTAATAATGAGAGATGTGATTCCCCGTGAAAAATGATTAAACACATGTCTGTTGGGAGACAAGTGAGTGGTCTTGGATAGGGTTCAACATGCACTGTTGGACAAGATGCAGTGACTTCTACCCGGGATCTGAATAAATTCAGTCCTGAACCTATGGGGATAGTCCGGAGTGTTTTAGTGGCTAGGAGCAAATGTTCAATTCATAGCAGGCAATTGAGGTAGCAGACTCATCATTGATAATTGTTTTTCTTCTCACTTGAGCCTTCTGCTTCCTAATGCTCATAATGTTCACTCACTCACTCGCTCACTCACTCACTTACGCTCGGCTTTGTCCCTTGGGTAGGCTTAGCTGGGTTTACTAAGCCATAGGGACATGTTCTCTCATTACTTTCTTCATTTTCTCTCTGTACTCCCCCTCAACTGGAGCACTCGGTATGCTTTGTCATTGTTAGGCACCGGGAAGGATAACATTGAACACTCCCCCTAAAATGTTGCATCCTTTGAGAGATTCCTTGCTTTGTCGGTGTAAGGCGCCAGGAGGAGAAAACTGAAACTCCCCCTCAGAATGTGCAAGGTTTGATTGCTCACAGCTTGTCATATCCGCCATGTGTGTGGAGCAATCTGAACAAGTACCACACATGACGGTTTCCCTGAGCTCATCATGTAGAATTTCAGCATATTGATGATCACATAATGTTGACGAGTCAGGGGAGGCTTCAGCAGTTGATTGTTGATTGTTGTAAGATGACCGTTGACGCGAGGTTGATTGAATTATCTACGATTTTCAGACCTTTACATTGAAGTTTAGAAAAGCTTTGACCTCAGGGTTGACAATGAAAGAATTTGAACAGATTTGCCTAAGTTTTGACCTGGACATCGGTGATTTACAATGTTTGTCGGAAAACTAACGTTTTGACCCTCAAGATTACAATCTCGAGGTTTAAATCTCGAGATTACAATCTCGAGTTTTAAATCTCGAGATTACAATCTCGTGTTTTAAATCTCGAGATTACAATCTCGAGTTTTAAATCTCGAGATTACAATCTCGAGTTTTAAATCTCGAGATTACAATCTAGAGGTTGCCTCGAAGAATAATGGCGAAATCCACCTGCAAAACAAACTTCAGAATATCGAAATCTGCAGAATTTCAAAATGTTTGGAACATCGAAAACTTTAGAGTTTCGAAAACCTCATAATCTCGAAAACTTGCTGTTTGAAAAACATCAGAACATCGAAAACTCCTGAAACATTTATAAGCAGGGAATTATTCAGAAATCCTATAATGTAAAGCTTCGATGAACTCCGAAGAATGTCAAGATTCGAATTATGAGTTCCAAGAAACTGCAAACTTTGAAAGATTCAAAACGTCAAGAAATTTTGAAAATCTCAAAATCTTCAGAATGTCGAGATCCAAAATATCGAGATCCCAAATGTCGAAATTCCAAAACTCGAAATTCCAAAAGATTTTCAGAGGCAGAAAGTCGAAAATCAGATGTCGAGATCTGAATATCGAGATCTAGGATTTCGATAAAGGAGGCCCGGTTTCGAGATTTGATATCGAGATTAGGATGTCGAGTTTTGAAATCTCGAGATTTCAAATGTCGAGAAGTAAATCTCGAGATTTGAGATGTCGAGAAGTGAAACTCGAAATATTATTTCGAGAAGTCAAATGTCGAGACCAGAAGTCGAGACCTTAAAATCGAAACCTCGATCTCGAGATTTGGATGTCGAGATCCTCAATGTCGAAATCCTGCAAAATGAAAACATCGATTTTTGAAAATCTGAAACCTGTTCTGAAAAGCCCTGAAGGTCGAGATTCTCTTGTATCACTTTCAATCCAAAAACGTTTCTGCAGCAGTGAAAAATAAGGATTTCGAGATCTCAGTGTAGAGATCTTCGAAATATAAAAATTGTAGAAAACGAAAAAAGAGGTATGCTGCTGGATCGGTTTTGAAAGGCGAGTCCAACAGTATGATTTTTACAAAATTTCGTTCACAAACAAGATTACAGGAGCAAATCTCTACATATTAGAAAAACAGAAGAAAAGCAGAGGAGTTCTTCGTTAGATCCAAAAAATCGCAGATAGATCCAACCTGTTTCACGCCTCGGCTCTGATACCAAATGATAGTTCCAGAATACTACCAATCATACAACCATAGCAGTGATAAAGAAGCAGATAGAAAGATATCGACAAGATTAAAACCGAATCTGGTATACCGTATGAACTGGCTGCTGCTCTCCCTGGAGAAGGAGAGCAGCGGCAACCCTAATCTCTATATCTCTACGCCTCTATGCTCTCTAAGACTCTTTCGATTAGTTAGGGTTCCCGTAAGTTAGCCTCCTTTTATAGGAGAAGTTGGCTAACTTACGGGTTACAAGGAAGCCCCCGGGCTGATACACAATTGTGGCCCGTAATACACGTTTAATTAATAACTACACAAATACAAAGATATTTAATTAGATTGGACACCATAAAATATTCCTAACACTGCTATTCCTAGATTGCGTGAATTGTGTAGTTCATCTTCTTTGATGAGTAGGTTTTTTCATCAGCGTTGTGCATGACATATTTTAAATTTATGTGTAAAAGACGGGCTAACGGCGTTGGGAGATGCTATGGAGGTGGTGAAGGGGGGGATTAAACTTATTTGGGCTAGTAATCAACTTAAGATGCAATGGAAAAATTATTCGAATGAAAGATGTGTTAAATATTGTGCTTTTCCTAAAGATTTGTCTACTCATTGGAATAGTACTTATAACTTAATTAAGGTGCTTATTAGATTTAAAAACCATTTTCCTGCTTTTTTAAGAGAATATGCTAACTATATTATAAACTCGGTCGACATCGGCACTTGTGAAGAAATTGTGAATGTTTTGGTTTTTTTTAATAATGCAACTCAAACTTTTAGTCATGTTTATAAACCTACCGCAAACCAATTTTTTGTTGAAGCTGTTAATCTCGTCGGCGCTTTTTGTGAATTTTCCGATGCCGCTTACGTTAGTTATTTTTGTGAATACACGAAACAAAAGTTTTTAAAATATTATTCACATATTCCGCATATATGGTATTGCATTTATTCTTGATCCTCGTTTTAGACTTGATTCTTTGGGGCAATGTTTAGATTACTATTATGCTTCTTTTTTTGGTTCATTGCCTATGTACCACGAAAAGGCCATAGACCCTAAACAAGAATTCCAAGAGGTTAGTAATTTATTATATCAATTATTTAATGAGTTTCATGCACAATATGGTAACGCATCCCCTCCCCCGCCACGAACATCTTTTTCATCTAAAGGAAAATCAATTTTTAAATATGCATTTGGCAATCTTATGAAAAAAAGTAAATCAACTCCGGTTAATGAACAAAGCTTGATTAACGAGCTTTCTTTGTATCTAATATTTCCTGTTGAGTATGAAGAAATGGATGAATTTGACGTTCTTTAGTGGTGGAAGGAAAAAGAAAGAACGTTCCAGATCTTATCAAAGATGGCTAAGCAAGTGCTAGCAAAGCCGGTATCTACAGTTGCTGTGGAACAAGAGTTTAATGCGGTCGGCAACGTGCTAACGGACTATAGAACGAGATTGAGCGCAAACTCTCTTGAGACGTTTGTTTGCTTCCAC